GCAGCTGCTGGTATAGATACGCTTCATATGCTGTCGTGCGGTGAACAATTACGACTGCTCGCGACGGACAATCGAATCGTTCTCGTCGAGTTTATACGAGTCATATATGTGTGTCGAACAGATTGCTACATTCGTTATATGTGTACGTTAATTCTGGAATTACTGTCGCGCAGAGAGAAAGAGAGAGAGAGAGAGAGGAAGTAAGTGCAGAACAAAGTATAGTATATCGAGGCGCGCGCGCGCGCGCGCGCAGTTTAGTTTGCTCTCGGTTTTCAGTGAATATCGCACGAGTGTCAATTAAATTCTAGAAATGCCATGCCGATGGTTATATTGCGCCAGTAATGTCGATCGTTTTAACGATTATTGATTTACGATAAATAGACCCAAAAAAGTAGAATTGAAAGCTTTATTTTTGGTAAATGAAAAAAATTAACCTGCATTTTAGAGTCGATAGACGAATACTGAAGAGTCTTGACAAAGCTTACTCGAAAGATTCGGAATTTCACAATCGTTTATTGCTAATCGAAATGTCCAAATTCCGCGTTATGTATAATTTCGATAGATTATAGGACTTAAAATGTCATGCGCGGTTCAGTAATGGAGTAAAATTGTACTTCAGGCAAATGTTGCAAAATTGGTTCGATTTTCCTGATAGAAACGCTTAACTTTTCATTACTTGAAACATTTCAAATGATGAATTTTGTAACATTATCAATGCCGAGTATTAAGGTCAAAAAGCGACAACTAAGGTTGCAATTGCACCATCAGAGTAGGAGTTTCAATTAACCTGCGAATACAACTCGATAAACTTACGCGATATTACCCGAAAAATCGCCAAATGCAGCGCACGGAACTCGTCGCTCGAAAAAAATCACAAAGTGAGCTTTTGTGCGGGGGGAAGCCACGCTATATACTCCACTCCCGAAAATCCACCCCCGCGATCTCACCGTATAAAGAGTGCAGCAGCAGCAGCAGCTATATTCATTCATGCATGCGCGCGAAAATCCTTTTTGTCGAATGAGGTGCGCAATCATTTTCCCGTCATCTCCATACACATAGCCAGATAAACGTCGTCTATTCACTATCCGATTATCGCTCCCGCCCCCGCCGCAAGCTTTCTCACATCGTATATAATATCAGTCTGCGAAGCTTTCGCGGTTTTTAAGCTATACAACCACGGTTGTGTATAACGTAGCTTTATGTACAGCTTTCTTTCTGTGTATATCGGGTCGCTGCCGCCGAGCTAAAGTTTTCGAGAGACAGCTTTATGGTCCATATACAGCAGCAGTAGATACGCACTTGATAAAAGCTCTCTCTCTCTCTCTCTCTCTCTCTCTCTCTTTCTCTCGGCGGTGGTGGCGTGTACTGCATCGCAGCAACGCGTACGTGAGTAGTCGAGCGCGGGCGAGCAGACGACATGCACACACGCGTGTGTGCTAGTTCTACATAGTATATATACGTAGCGTATGCCGCGCGCAACTTTACCTCCGCAGACAAGTTGCAGTTTCCATTTGCAACCACCGCGCCGGATCGCGATGATCGCTCGAGCGCGAAAGCTCGAATGTTCGCAGAAAAACAGCTTTTTACTACCCTGGTTCTCTCTCTCTCTCTCTCTCTCTGTTTCTACAATCGAAAGAAATTTTTTCCAGTGGCGCGAGCAATCCTTTCTCTCTCTTTTTTTTTTTTTTTTTTTTTTTTTGACTTTTTGTTTTAGTAGGAACAAAAGTAAAAGGAGAGAGCCAAATTGTGTCCACGCGAAACTACGCGTGGCGACGCTGCTGCTACTGCTGCTGCGCTTCTTTCATATCGGTTGTTACTTCTACGTATATATGTACGCGACTCGCGCGTGGCACAGAGAAATAGAGAATCACAAGTACTAAAATGTGCCGGGGCTACACGCACGCTTGTGCTTGTGCTGCTATTGCTGCTTATTAATGGTTACTGCCTACTACATACTCGCTCGCTGCCGAGAGAAAGTCGGGCACGACAAGCAAGCAACAGCAACGTTAGCAAGCGTACATTGGCCTCTCGGGAAGAGCGTCGTCGTCGTCGTTTTTGCTCGCGTCATCTTTGTCGCGCTTCCCTTCTCTCGGCATTTCTTCTTCTTCTTCTTGTTTTTTTTTTTTTTTTTTTTTTTTTTTTTTTTTTTTTTTTTTTTTTTTTTTNAAATCTGGGTGATTCTGAGACCCGAAGTCTCGGTAATCACCCTTTTGTTGCTTTTTTTTTTTTTTTTTTTTGGTCCGACTTTTTTTAACCGCTAACTGTTGCACATCCGCGAAGTTCTTTTTTAAAAGTGGTGTGGGGTGCACATTTCGAAAACAAAACGTCGAAATAGGGTGACTGTACCAATACCTGGCCACCCCCCAATATCCGGACACTTTTATTCAAGTCATATCAACATTTGAACAAATAATAAAATGATTTAAATGGCATGATCGAGTTAAGTATTATTCATTAAATGAAATTATCGTTTTATATAGTAATTTTTAATTAAATTAATGGAATCATATAGTATTAAAAAGTGCACGGATACTGGCGCAAAGTGATTTTTCTTAAGACCAATTACCGGCCAATTTTTAATTTAAATTTACCATGTTTCGACATATTTGAGGGTAATATTCAAGTTTTTTATTGTCAAAATAAAAAATAGAATTATTTATGATTATTGTACGAGAAAATGGCCGGGCAATGGAACATCACTTCTTAGCTGTCCGGGTATTAGTACAGTCACCCTATTCTCTTCAAAGTTCGTATAGCCGAATGTGTGTGTGTGTGTGTGTGTGTGTGAGTGTGTGTGTGTGGAGGATAGGTAAATTCCTTGACACGAGAGAGCGAAAGGTGTGCGGTAAGGCGATTTATCTCGCCGACGCACTTTTGCGAGTGCACTCTAGCGATATATATATCTGTATCCAAACGTTGAATATATATACGTACCGACGCTTCGAGGAACTCTCTGCTACTGACAACAAGCGGTCGAACGTTTCTCTTTGCTGCCGCTGCCGCTGCTGCCTATATACCACCGCTATGTATACCGTTGCTGCCTTGCTGTTGACGTGTATTTGCGCAAAACTTTGTTTCGATTATTTTAAATGTTTTACTCGTTGTATAATGAAATCCGAGCGGTCGAGCGAGGTGGGGAGAAAAATAGAGAGAACAAATTAATTCGAATGAATGCAGTACGATCAACTTATTGACTCGTAAAAGTTGTAACGGCTGTATCCGAGTACAGGATTAAAATTTCGGGATCGCGAAAGTAAGCGCGTTGAAAAATTGAATAGGGAAAATTCATACGAAAGAGAAGTACTATTGAAAAATACCTGTACTTTAATGGAGATTTGAAGGAAATTTAAGAAGCTTTTATATGAAATCTCTGTTAAAAATTGAGATCATTTTTTTTTTTCATCAAGTATACAAAAAATTTATGATACATTATAATTAATGCAAAAAAACAAAAGGGATTTAATTTTAATTAAAGCATTTTAATTGAAAATTAATGTTTTAATGCTGTCACAGATTTGCGTTAATTGCTTAAATTATTTATGACAGTTTAGTCACAATTAAAGCCAGCCTATACCACTAGATGGCGTGTACCTTCATCTGTGAATCTACAAATGGTAAAGTAACAATAACTGTGCATATTGTACAAAAGCACGCATTTTAATGATGTTCCTGGTTTCAGCCTCAAATCGCAAAAACCTTTATATCTGTAAATCTGAAAGTGATAAAGTAAAAATAATTATATAAGGCAATATCAAAATTGGCGCACAGCATATCAAATTATGTCCTACTTCTTCTGTAAGCATGTTTGACTCCGTTTCTTCGATCGTTGCACGTGTCGATACATAAAAGCAATATTAAGAATAAGATGGGTAATGTAACTTTGTCATAACATTATTAAAGACAGCCTCCTTCACTCGATGACGAGTATCTACAACTGTAAATATGCAAGTGAAAAATTAAAAATATTTGTATAAGTCAAATCACTGGATGGAAAATCATATGGTCTATTACTTATTAGGCTCATTTCATTGGGCATAACGTTATACATTCTGCAGCAGAAGCGGCGGGCCACCAGGAGAGAAAAGAACGCGGCTAGATCGTGAGTGCACGAGAATATTTAACGGAACTTTGAAGTTACCATATTTAAAAATACGAAAAAGAATCACCCTGCTTCGATCGTTTCTTCAACGTCGACCCGACAATCATTTACTGTTGCGTAATTATTTACTGGGCTCGATCGTGGAATGTGGTACTCGTGATCAGAACCACGGAAAATTTCTGTTAAAGATTTTTTACACAATCCGAGCCTTGTTAATTATTTCTCAATCAACTTAAATTTAAATAATTTGCATAATTAAAATGTATTAAATGTTGACGTAAATTTTCTCAAAAATACATAAAATCATTGAAAGTATTGCTATACCTACCTCTCGGGATTCTATAACCTTACGATTATCAGACTTGAATTGTGTATTTTTCAAAAAATTACCTCATTCATGAACCCAACGCGCCTAAAGAAGTTTAAAAAAAAATTAAAATAACAATTAATGAAAAATAAAGAAAGTTAAGAAGATGAAGCGAATTTAAGAACTTAATGAGAAAGGAAAAAGGCAAAGCAGCGGCAGCATTGCTGCAGACTGGCTTTCTGTGTTATCGTGCATTAAGTGAAAATTATTATGGAATTCAAAGCTGCACGCTAATTTAATCTTTTGTTTAAAATGCAAACGCCAGCGGACTAGTTATGTTTATTTCACGATTTTCATTTCGTTTCGTGTAATTAGTAGAGCAGCTTGAGCAGCGCATTGTAAAAGATCATTAAATAAATATTTTCTATTATTTACAGAAATGAGTTTGACGTTTGGCTTTATTTGAGTTGATATTATACACAATTGCTTAGACATCTCTCTCGTCTTAGCGGAACTTTTTCATTAAATAAATTATCACGATTCAATTGATATACGTCACGACTAAATTTCGCATTTCATTCCTTTTTTTTGCAGTGGCGTGCTCGACGGTGACGGTGTCCAAATGCCAGGCTGCCTTGAAGAGCTTGCAAGCTTTCGAGTTCTTCAAGCCGACGTGTCTCTGCCACGAGCCTCACGTCGATCCCGAGTGCAATGATTTTCGTGACTTCCTTTTTGACCATAAATGCATTTACGTTAATAAAAAAGGTGAGTAACGTATACATATACGATAATTTATTCTTTCACATGTGTACTAAAAGTAGTTTTCTTTAACGAACAAACGAAACTCGTTACGCGCGTTTGTACGTAAAAATTGTGTAATGATATTCGATTACTTTTTCGGCCTAGCTATAACCGCTCAAACGTGTATCGAAAAGTTTTATCGAACTGCGAGCGAGCTCGTAAAAGCTCTCTCCCCCGTTGCACGATCGAACGCAGCGCGCACTCGAGTATTGCAAGGAAATCGAGTTAATTAACGACCGCGATGTTCAAATTATTAGCTTTTCCTGTTATCGAATTTGTTAGTGACTTGTGCCGGTGAGAGGCATTTCCACCTCTCTTTTTTCCGGGGATCGTTCCAAATGTAGATTGTTTTTTATTTTGCTTTCAACGCTTAAATCGCGGGCAAACGAAAGATTTTTCTCATTTGTGTTAGAGAGTGTAGGGTCAACCGTAGGATAATGAAGTTTGTTATTGTAGTGCGTTTACCTCTATGATGTCGAACAAGCCTCCGCAATTAGGAAGTGTTTTATTATTATTTTTTTTTATTTCAAAGCAACTTCGTCATCAGTCGCGTGGCCTGCTGCCGCCCGCACATCGTGGGTAGCATAGAGCTTGATTATATTCGGGCCTGCGCGCTTACATGCACACGCGGTTGAAAGACGCGCGAGAACAACTAAGCCGGCATCAAACTTCGGGTCATGTATGTAACAAGAACGGCTAGCCTAATTCCATTAATACTGCATATATCCGCCACGAGAGATGAGGCGGGGCGCAAAAGTCAGTAAGCGAAAGACAGCATCAGCACACCTGGGCGCGGGAGGAGCATAAGACGCCTCATTAAGCTTGGGGACCGAGGCATATCTTTTATTTTTGTTTTTTTGTTCTATATATACGGTAGAAAGACTTGTGTTAACGTCGTCACAGCGCCAATATTTAATAATAACGTTGTCTTTCCTTCTCTCTCTCTCTCTCTCTCTCTCTCTCTCTCTCTCTCTTTCTCTTTCACTCTAATTAATTCGAGCTGCAGAAATGATATTTACAATTAAATTCAGAAGGCGCGGAGTACCTACCTACCTCGCGCGCGCTGCGAATTTAATTTTGCGCCTCGGCTTGTGCATTGTATTGCGTTGTATAGTGTAGCGCAGAGAGAGAGAGAGAGAGAGCTGCTCAGCTGTTGTTGTTGATATTTTGCGTAGCACAGATATGTATTCACACGCACGTCGTGCGTGTGCCTATATACGTACGCGCGCGTGTTTGAGAAAGATATATAATTTCATTCATTTCGAGAGAGGAAGGGATGAGAGCGAGAGAGAATTTATTTTTCACTCGTGCATCTGTGTGTCGCAGCAGCAGCGACAGCAGCAGCGGCAGTGCAACGTCCAATGAATTAATTTCTTATAACACGTAGATATGTATAGACGGGACAGCAGCGCGAGCGCGTGCATCGTTGACTGTCGGAATGAGCTGAGCCGGGGTATATATGGAGTTTAATTCCAATTCGGGTTTTTAAAATTAGATCGGATGGAGAGATAAGTGTACGCGGGATTCTCATTTATTGCGCCACTCAAGCATGTGCAAATGACGATTATTAATATTGAATCGACCTAGATGCAGATATAAGATCTTCAATTACAATATACTTTGTAAATTAATCAATATATCACCTGTAATGGCACGAGCCACGCGGCGCGCAACCTTGTAATTAAAATTCATTTCATTTTTGAATTATTAGATGGATTTTTTTCTCTCTCTCTCGCTCTTCATCTGAGTAATCGATGAAATTCATGTGAAACGTCCATTTATTTAATGAATCCGTGATTAATCATTCATTTGATTATATTCCACACACACACAGCCACGCGAAAGCTTTCACAATTTTTTACTCGCTGTCTATATGTGTCGGGGGATAGCCGTATATGGACTAACTTGCGCCGCGCGTATACGAGGAGTTTGCCGATAAAATCGATCAAACGGCATCAACTCCGGCGTGAAAAGGGCCATAACGCGTCGGGCGTTGAGAGCGACGAGGAAGAGAGAGAGAGAGAGAGAGAGAAAGCGAATTGTGTGAAAATATCCTCTCTCTCTCTCTCACTCTCTCTTCCCTGTACTGCTGGTCTTTCTCTCTATATATACGGCGGTATCATGGCTTACGCTAACGAGCGGAATAAAACGTAACGACTCAATTTCGTATATAGGCAACTTTCAGGAGCGCGCGAAACAACGTGATAATCCAAGCCACTCTACTACTCGCAGGACGCTGCCGCGCGCGCGCTCCAATCAAACGTCCTTTCCAACTCTCTCTCTCTCTCTCTCTCGCCTCGTCTGTCCACCTGCTATCGTGGGTAGAATATACAGCGTACGCTTGCGCGAGGACTGTGTGTCAGTCTGTGCGTCTGTATACGTGGGTATAGTGATGTGGTTTCGGATTCAATTAATTTATGCCGAGTGATCGGATTATCTGCACTGTATAACGAGCGATCTGCTGTGCGCCGGGCCCTCGGCTACCTACCCACCCGTTTTACCTCCGCTTTCTTGATACATATACTTGGTCACGAGCCGAGCTTAAGGGCTCAGTGGTACCTTAAAATCTGGAGGAAAAAAAATTTATTAAACATTTTTGGGAGATTTTCAAACTCCTTTTCTCAAAATTTTATTTTCCATAGATGTACGATTCGAGGTTTCCATTTTTTTGGGGACAATAAGCTTATTTAACAAGATCACTTTCGAGCTTTTTCTAATAGATCTCTCTTTACCCAACAATCGCGAATGCTCGACGTATTAAACTGCCTTTCGTGACGGATACGTATATAAAGTACTATACGTATGCACAAGCACCAGCAAGTTCGATATCAAGACAAAAGAGACGCAGAGAGATAAAGCCAGACTCTTCGTATCTTTGATCCGAGCTCGTTCGCATTGTTCCCCAAAGGATCGCTTGCTTGCTCGCGAGAGCGAGAGCTGAGGCAAGAAGTATAGTACGAGTAGTAAGCGCTCATCTCCCCGATGTGGGACGCACCGCGACGCCGAAGCCGCCACCGCCGCCGCCCCTGCAACGCCGAGCGACTGCTCTTATGTACATACACTGGGTATATAATACTACGTGTACACCGGAAAATACTCTTGTGTTGTGTTAGTTGTGCGACTCGTGTCTCAATGAATTTACAAGATGTCGCGCATTTATGTAAACGAGAGAACAAAACGTCACGGGTGTAGTATAGTAGTGGTAGTTGTTTTTTTTTTAGCTTCCCTTCGATACGGAAGTCTGGAGATGGATTCCGGTGCTCAATAATGGATTTTCAACGTGTTTTTTCTCGTAATAGTTTATACGTGCTGCAACAGCAGATAACAGTTGCACCCGGCGAATTAAAGAGTAAAATAAAAAAAAAATTTTTTTTTCGTTCGACTGCTGCACAATGACTAAAAAATGAGCGGAACTTGCAAAAAAAAAGGAAAGAGAAAAAAAGGAGACAAGCCAGGCAATGGATGAGGAGCGCATCTTTTGTAGCCATCATCCCGCTCGTAGACAGCATAAATCGAGGAGCGCGCTCGCGCTCGTTCTGGCAAGTTCCCTTATACTCGCCTCCATGGGCAAAACGTTATACATTCTGCAGCAGAAGCGGCGGCTGCAGCCGGGAGAGAAAAGAACGGCTAGATCGTGAGTGCACGAGAATATTCTCGAGCAGATGAAATTTCGATCAGGCACATATCTCTCTCTCTCTTCCTTCCTTTTTTTCCTTCATTTTTTGTTGCTCTACGAGCGCAGCAGTTGCTTTATTTTTCCTTACACTGGCCATATATATACGCTACATGCCCCGAGAAGTTGAAGTACAAATTTTAACGCGAGAGCATAAAATTTTAGGAGTGAATTACACGAAATTCGATAAAGTTGAGCGAAAAGAACTATTTTTTACGGCACAATACGGTACTATACCCGTTTTGTTTCGGGAAAAAACTGTAGAAATAAGTTTTTCAGGAGCAGCGTGAGAATTTGCGCGCGATAAAGCGTTTAAGCCGCGTAGTGAGCGTTCAGTTGAATTAAAAGTTGCCGTTTTCACTCAAGATACAAGGAAAATTGATATAAAAAAAAAAAAAAGAGGAAGAAGTTGAACTGTGAAGCGCGAACGTATTTACATAGAAAGAGAAAGAAGAGCTTATAAGCCCTTGATAATTAATGCATCAAGTACCGGTCAATGGGAATAATTGAAACACAAAAAATGCGAATTTTATTTTTAATTACAGTGATTTAACGAATAGTCTAGACACTCCGTCATTTCGATTTCATATAACAACGTGTACAATACATGGTATACACAACTGGCATTTGTATATTCTTTTATTTAAACTAATTATAAATTAATCAAAAATCTATCGACCGTTCATTAAATCACGATGTAATATTTGGATTTTTTTCGGCCTTTATCCATTGCGATGTTAGGTACTCGCGAGATGAAAAGGTAAAGCTAAACTCGAAAAAAATTATTCTTATTAAAGATTCCATTCCAGCATTTTTGGAGTGCTTCACTAGTGAGGGAGGGCTCTCATCCAATCAGATAATAATAATCAGCGGAATAAATATTTCACGAGCACAATTTTGCCCAAGAATCGGAATAAATTTTATTGAAAAAATATATTCATACATCTATTACTATATTCGACACGCGGCCTCTTAATTACACAGGCCCCCAAGAATAAACTACAAAATTTCAATTGGAAACTCACCGCGCTGCTCTATGTTGTATTTATTTTTTTTTACCCAGCGAGAGAAAAGCCTTCCCTCTAAAAATTCGTTTTAATCAAATTGGAGGTTCAGCCGAGTATACATTTCACGTAAAACATATAAATACAGGGTTGAAAGAGGGAGCGTGAGAGAGAGAAAGCCGAGTTCACAGTTCAACGCCTTTAATCGTTTTGCCACATCGCGCCCGAATTAACATTCTGTTGCATGTAGAGCGTTACTAATGACCCGCAAATGAGTCGAAAATAAAGCAAAAGACGAAAAAAAAAAATTATTTAAACGAAATTCGATGCAATTACCATTTCACCGCTGACACAAACGAAAAATGTGCGCGCGCACAAAATTTTCCACGATAACGTATATCATTATAAGCATTTATATTTTATATCATTTGTCTGTGAATAATCGAGACACGTTTGTGTGTTTGTTTGCCTTTGCTGTTTACAGAAAAAGATCCGTACTCGATCGAAGCTCTTCCGACGTGCAATCACGCGCTGAGCGAGTGCCAGCGCGACAAGTCCTGCGTCAAGCTCTACGACGACTTCAAGACCAACTGCAAAACGCGAGACGGCAGATGCAGAATGGAAAATCGGTAAGTCATCGCTCGAACGCATTATTGTACTGTATACATATATCTACGCGAGCAAACGTTTTGGTATGCGCGATGATGTACGATAAAAAAAAGAGAGAGGGGGTGAAAAAAAATCGTGTGCGGGAGCTGTGTGTTTGTGTGTGTGCGAGCTATACTAGGGGGATTCCCCGCAATGCAGTAGTATAAACGCGCTCCCACGTATACGCATAGCCGCAAAACAGCAAATCTTTGTCCCGTATATACACGCGCGCACTCGTATATAGCAGGTCGAAACAATTCGCCGCTAACTGTCGCAAATGCTGATTAGGGAAAATCACTTTGAAGCACTCTCTGCTGCTGCCGCTGCTTCGACTTTGGCTTCGGTGAACGGTAACCTTTTTACAGCCTTCATTATTGGATATCCCCCTCGCACCTTTAGCCTCTCTTCTCTCTCTCTCTCTCTGTTTGAATAAAGTCTATAAAACAAGGAACGACTCGCTTTTGTTGATTGCACTTTGGTTGGATGCTGGTTCTCCGCGATTCGAGGAAACAAAAACGAGAGGATCTATGTGATGTTGGGGAAGCAGGTGTGCCTAAGATAAATACGGATCGATCGATTTTTCAAGTCTTTGTTGCATGAAATTAGATACTTCTGTTTTGTCTTTTAATTATGCTTGAAGTTTTTCCATAGGATTGCAGTTTCCTCGAATTTTTCTTCGTTAAATAATAAAATTCTTCTTCGGTGCAGTATCACTTCTTTTTTTTCAACCCCATTATTCTTTCGTTCTCTCCGACGGATTCGCACTTTTACACTCGAATTCTGAACAAATTTCTCTACCTTCCAAGTATCTACCGCGTTGAACACGCGCGTAAAAAAGCAGCATATCGCTGAGATCCGGGAAACTATTACCAGGGTGTTATATCGCTCGCAAACAAGTTAACTATTTTTTCCTTACTTTCTCTCTCTCTCTCTTACTCTATATTTTTACAAAGTTCGAAATCATGTAAATTCATGAAAAGTTTTGCGTCATTTTTTGTTCACCATCTTTCCCTCTCCCTCCCTCTCTCTTGCGTGTTTTTTTTCCTTCACTCGCACATTTTCTCAGAAGTTAAGGTTAAAGAAAGAGGAGGAGAAGTAAAAAGCAAGAAGAAAAAAAAACAACGAGTATAAGAAATGAGTGTAAAGTGGAATGAAGAAAAGCTTCTCGCGTGTCGACGGCTCGTATTATATATGTAAAAGGCAACGCGCTTGCGTATACCCGTATACACTTTGCGCGCGAGTTCTCAGCTATTTACATGTATAAGTCTACATACACACATACACTCACACATGTAAACAAGAAAAAAAAAGACGGGAGAGAAGTCGAGCTCGTACGCAGGAAGTACATGTATTATGTGCTCCGTAGTAAAAAAAACAGCTCGAAAAGACATGTATATTATACAGACATACGTATACACATGAAGTAAAACGCGCCACGTCAATCCGTTTCCAAAGCCGATAGCGTGACTTAGGTTCTCTCTCTCTCTCTCTCTCTCTCTCTCTCTCTCTCTTCTTGAAGCTGTTTTTTCCCCCACACAATATATATAAGTATATATATTTTTAAGCAACCGAAAAAAAACTAATTTTTTCTACTTTTCTCCACCTTCTTTGGCCTTACAGTCTTCTTTCTCTCTCTCTCTCACTCTCTATGGAAAGGGATTATGTAATTGCCGCAAGCGATGAAGCTTTTCTAGCAAGCGGTCGCATGTTTATTCATCGAGTTTTTTTGTACGCCACGTTGCTGCAGCAGTCTGTAGTATATACTACAGCGCCACAGCGAGTAGTTGACCGGAATTTCTGTTTTTTTTTTGTGTTGCAGCAGCTCGTGCCTGTTAAACGTATACGTAGCGAGCGGTAGGGTATAACGAAAATAAAAACGTTATAGGTAAACTGCGCCACGCGGGCGCGTTCGAATGCAAAATTATTTTTCTACTCTCTCTCTCTCTCTCTCTCTCTCTCACCCTTTCAGCTGTGTAAATCCTTGAACGGATTTTCAGTGATTCCGATTATGATTATTGCCTACGGAGTAATTTATTCACCCTTGCGCACAAAGTTGTACTAAAAAAATGAGGCAGTGCAGGGGCTTTACATTTTAAATAGTGGTTATTTTTATGTGGCACTGGGAAGAGAAAAAATCCAGCAGCATTCCATTCGGGAGGGATTTTCAATTAATGTTTCTGAACGGGTCAATTTCATATTGGCTTTATATTGATTTTAGCGAGAAAATAATTAAATTTTTCGATTTATTTTATATATTCACTGCAGCGAGGCAAATAGTCCTCTTTACAATTCGGACAAGTTTGACAGGAGTTATGTGTATTGTTATTAAAATAAATCCTCGTATTTAAATCATTAACACTGATGATATGTTAAAAATTGAAATTGATAGTGACAGACCTCTTTGTAGAAGTATTTTGTTGTTCTTTTATAAATGTAATTAACTTTTATTTTTGGAATTCAAATGTACAAAGCTTGAAAATTGAAATAAAATTTAATCTTTCAAACAAAATGTCTCGACGTAATATTTATAAAAAATGGAAATTTTAATTAATTAATGTTTCATGAGCATGGTATCGTTTGGGCAAATAACACTTGTCCACTTTGATTTTTATGCACAAGGAAAATGTGGGTAATAATTGAACGGAAAATGAAAATATATTTTCATATAAATTATTAAGTTACAATGATCTTCATTTTGTGTTGCGTATTACAACATTACGCACAGTATTAATGAGCCTGATACCTTATTGTTTTATGATTGTTCCTTTTTATGCATTAAATTTTGTATCGGTATCAACTTAATTACGGGTGTAAATACCAACATTATGCAGCTTGCATTTACATCGTGTACACAATTCAAGTTTGACCGTAGAGAAAAAAAAACTTTCGCGGTGTCAAATGCGCGTCACGCGAGGGAATCATCTTAAGCCCGGTAAAAGCCACGAGGATTCGAGTTTATACATATAACGCTAGCAGAGGCTACTGCACACAGCCTTTCTCCTATACTCCAAGACAAATAACAGTTTCAAGAGAGAGGCAGAGAGAGAGAGAAAGAGAGAGAAGTGCACATAATAGTTGCAACCACACAGACGGCAATGTTTTGTCCTAATCTCGAGGGAATGACAACGAAGCCCGTCGCCGTAGTCGCCATCGTCGTCGTCGTCGTCTCGGCCATCCTGCAAGCAAGTGTGTGTTGGGTGTTAGCCGCAACAATGTGGCTTGTATATATACGGTATACGCTTCTGCGCGACCAATACACCAGTTCGAGTAAATACTTAGGAGGGCTGCTGCTGCTGTTGCTGCTCCGCTGCGCTGTGCTAGTGAAGTAATTATCCCTAGCAAAGAAAGCGAAGGGTGTTCGTTTGAACGGCCAGGGGGAGGGTTTTGTTTTACACGCTTTTCGAAACTGATTTATTGCCAATAGTAGTTTGTTGGGGCTTGCGAGATAAAACTCCTCGCGCAGTGGCGGCGTGTCGGATCGCATATAGACACACACACACATACACTAAAAGTAATTGAGAGTCGAGAGCTCGGGTTTTCGGCGAATTAATTGGAAAATTGAGAATTGACTCGCGAAGTGACGATCAAGTTCTTTTTCTTTGTTTATAATGGGTATTAGATGGTATACAATGGAAACAGGTTGAATTAGGTCAAGCTTTTTCACGCTCCAATTGCGACTGTTATTTTTTTAATTTTCAAAAAACATTATATTTTAATTTTTATCAATTTTTCGAACGCGCGAATACAGTACACAATTATAAACTTTGAACCTTTGTGAATTTGTAAAACCGAGATTCTATACGAGCTAGATGTTTCAAACTTTTGGAATATTCATAATTCAATATACCCCCCCATAAAAGTATGTATTAAATTAGTTTGGCAATTATTAAAGTGGATCGCACTTGACTCGTTGCAGTTCATCTATATATCAACGCGCTCGAATGAACAATTCTGTTTTACAGTGTCCGGCATGTCACGTTCCTTCATTTTCTTTGAAGTCGAATTCCATTCCGAGAACATCGCTAGATATCTTCACCATCTTGATTTTTTCATACGCTCGCTTCCATAAGATAAGACCCGAGAACAGCAAGGAGAAATATTTCCGCAGTAGTAAAGGTCAATGCTACGGTCATCCACCGATGCGATGCCGCAGCCGCAGCAGCTATAAGTTGAATTAATAATTGCACACACGGCAAATAATGAATAGGTACGATTAATGTACATTTCAACGCCATGAAATATCGAGACCGGTAAGCAGCAGCAGCAGCAGCAGCGGCAATTTCTACTGCAACGTGAATAAAATAAAATTTCATAATATCGTAGCGGTGACGGCGGCTGCGCTACTGCAGTGTAGCATGCAGCAGTGTTATAAGGGTAAAAAAAAGAGAAGGTAAAGGAAAGGGGGGTAGGTAGGAAAGGGTGTGCGGAGAGAGCGTACAACGCGCACGACACTTTGGACGCGCAAGCCACGAGCGGCCCATAAATACTACCTATGCGAAAAAAAAAAGAAGGAAAACGAACGAAGGGAAAGACGACGACGAGTAAGAGAAGTAGGAGGAGGAGGACGACGACGAAAGGAAAGCTAGCCAAGCCACAATGTGCCCCGCGTACAGCGGTGCCGTCCACCGCCTGCCCTACCTTGCCTCTGCTTTGCCTACGGGGTGTACTCTGTATTATAGCGTGGCCGCCCGAAAAAAAAGCCCGCGCCGTGCTCGACGGTACACGGTGTGCAATGTGCAGCGCGCAGAGAGGAGGTAGGGAAAAATCGCGTCGCACGGGACATATCTCCGGTGACTGCGAATAATTTCCCATTTATTTCCGTTTTTATGCATAATGTAGAAATGTTTCGCGAAGGGGGGGTTGAAGGTACGAGAGCTGCTCTGCTCCGCGGTGAATAGCTGCCGAGCTTCGTATAGCTGCTGCTGCTGTATAACCGCAGCTGCTGCGCGCCATGGAATTTCATTCCCTCTCTTTCTCTCGT